TTGTCACCTATTTCATAATACTTATTATACAGGTTGTTGAATAAGTGCGACAAATTTCATGGTGTGATTCCTTGTGATATTTCAGGAAATGAGATTGAAAGTATTTATTGTTTTTTTATTTACCCCCTGTATAAGCTTTTATGGTGCCAAAATTCTGTCTTGTTGACGACACAGCCCCAGCAAAATTTCAAAATGATTCTGACTGAGGTTATTGAATAATCTCAATGGGTGTCTTGGGAGGACCTATATTTTTCAATTGTTTCTTCAGAAACTGAACAAGATACAAACATTCAAAAGTAACACAAAGAATGAGAAAGTTGTTATTTCAATTATTGGTCAATCTAATAAAAATATGGAAATGACAAAAAACATAAATATCGATGAATTAACCCACTCTGACGCCACTGGAAATATTATTTTGAATCTTATAATACCTGATGTTACTTTCAAGGAAACCACCAACTTTTGAAATTGATAAGAAGACATTCAAGTAATTAATTAAGAATACGATATTAATACTCTGTAGCACGAAAGCGAAGCATATGTTATGTAACCCATGTTTGTATGAACTTTGTTTCCTGAAATTTCACAAAAAATTACTTCCTGAAGTTTGTCATACATATTCACTAACACCCTGTATAATTTGTTTTCAGAGGGTTTATTCGTGTGAAATACTTGATAACATTTTTCTGTCATCCCGTATGGTTTGAAAAAAAAAGGTGGAGGAACTAAAACAGGTGAATGGTATAGAATATAAATAAATGTGGAGCAATTTGAACTATAGCCCGTAGTGCCAATTTGTTATTGAAATTGGACCAATTAAACAACATTAAAAAGCGCTAACATATCATGCGTATTTCGATAGCCATCGAGTAACGAATATTCTGCCAAATCTGCCGATTCGTTAACAATCAATCAACGCTTAATGCCCCATGCCAGCCATTAGTACGGGGTGGGAACTCTTATTCGATTGCGATTTATTCGAATTTCTCAAAGTTCAAGGACTGCACAGTTGGCATTATCAAAAAACTGGCGTTTTCTCAACTGTCTCATTGATTTTTTGATGAATAAAATCAAGTTGTATAGGGCATAACATAGCATTTTAATAGCGAATATTCAAATTTAATCACGTATTCATACTATATTCAGTGTTCAGACCATTTCAGCGAGTCCTTATGAATGATTTGTCCAGTTTATTTTCTGTAAAAACAGCTTTTTTGAGTAATCTGGTTTATTGCAAATACACTTGAACTGAACACCAATAAAAATCAAGAATTGTTGATATCATTCCACTCTAATATCTCGTCTGGAAACACTGTTACACTACTAGGCATTGTAGTTGATGAAAAACTCAATTGTGCAGCTAATGAGGAACAGTTGAGCCGAAAATTGTCTTCGATTAGATTTTTGATCCATTGAATGAAAAAAATAGTCAGCTCGGAGGTTCTCAGATCCTCCTATCATAGTTTGTTTCACAGCCATATAATGTTTGGGATATTACTGTGGGGCAGATCATGTCATTCTCACAAAACACTCGTTCAACAAAAAAAAGTAGTCAGAATCATGAGCGGTGCAAACAACATAGACCATTATTGCCGTCCACTCTCTCGCAAACTTTAGATTATGCCAGTTCCCACAATTTTCATTTATCTCACGCTTCTTGAAATCCACACTAACATGAAGGATTATCAATTTATGACAGTAAAACATCAGTTTCCCACTAGATCAGGTGATTTGCTGATAAAACCCCGGCAAAGACTTGTGATTTCAAGAAAAATTCTTTGCATATTGATGTTTACAACAAGCTACCAAATGAAGTTAAACATTTGAATGCTCGCGATTTCGAAATCACAATGAAACGATTTCTTTTGAATCATGTTTCTGTTCAGTGGATGAATTTCTCAGTTAAAATTTTTGTCAAGCGGTCATTGATGGGGGAGACGCAATTTCAACAAAATTTTAATTCGTCAGAATTGTTACATGTGATTACTATTTTATACTTGAATATTCGTGTTGTTTTTTATATATTCATGTATTAATATTCATAGTTGAATTGTAACAATATGACATGCTACAAATGTACATCAGTACGTAAATTGGTGACTAAACTATCTATCTATCTATGAATCATGGTAAGAGTGTCCACCATGTATATATTCATGCTGTTAGCGGTTTTCCAGAAAAAAATCGATGTTGCCCATAGAAGTTCATCTATTTGATATAGTCATAGACGAACAATTGCGCATCCGCCAAAACTTGAAAATGAACCTGATGTAGATGAAGAATGGCTCTTTCGCCAAATATTGAAATTTCAACTAATGCAGTCGTAGAGTTGTGCTTCCGCCAAAAATTGAAAAGACAATGTGTACCTGCATAAAAGTGACCATTGGATTTCGGTTGTGTGCTCCCAATTGCTGATTATCTACAAGTCGGCCGTGAATTCATGGAATTAACTCATTCCGATCTTGTGTGCGCCAGGGCGAGCAATTTCATGGCTAGCCCAACTTCGTCCGATTCAATTAATGAGTTGAAAGAGACGCGGACCCTTACGTTGTGCAAGGCAATTGTATTCCTACTCTTTCCAATTTCTGATCCGGGCAAAACAATCACCAGAATTAAATAATAGTTGGCAGAGAGGTTGCACGGAAACGTGATATCTGTCGACGTCGTGGCAGGAATCGGCCTGTGAAATTAACTTCACTTCAGCCGAAAAGTGCACACCGAAAATCCTTTGCTTGATGTTAAGAACGCATGCATATACAGGATGGCTGGAATTCGAGCCTCATTATTGGAATCTCGTAAACCAGAACATGAAAAAAAATGTCATGCCTAACAGAATGATTTTGATTTTGAAAATTGAAAAACTCCGAATACTCCTAAAGATTTTTGAATATTTGCGATTCATTTTCATTTTTTTATGACTAAGTTGGAAAATCTCGATTTTGAACACCCCATATTTTTATTATCATTCACGCTAGACCTCAAGCACTTCAGAAAGAGTTCAAAAATGCAATAATATACAGGGTGTCCATTTGAAAAAATATTTGTTTGACTCGCTGCGCTTACTTGAGGCACCCTGTATAAATGAATCTCAAACCATTAAATAGATCGAATAAAACCCATCGACTCATTCATTCATATTTTTTTTCGTGAGAAGTATAAATAAAGAACTTACGAAGGGACGGCGGACTCTTGGTCCTCTCTGTATGAGACAGTTATCAAAGAATCAAATTTGAAACTATTTTGTTATAACTCTTCAGAACTCATCGAAAGAACTTGAAGAAATAATGACTGGGACGAATGATATATTGAAAAAATAATCAATTCCGAATTTCTTTCAAGTCCTGTATGATGAATATCAATTTGCCATGCATCAAAGAACAAAATTCATCGAAACATATTTGGAATCGTCTAAAAAAGCTCTTGAATTCAATTTAACACTGTGATAATCTAGAGATAATTTCGAACGTGAAATGTTGGGTTTTATTGGCAATTATTTTGTTGATAATGTATATATACCACTCAAATGCCCTAACGAACTATTCGACCGATTCCAATTATTTCAGCGGGGATCCTGATAAATTTTTTGTTTACAATAATTGATCGAAAAATAGGTGATGCCATCTGGAGGTGAGACTTGTATAAATATTTGAGGAAGATTCCTATATATGTTGGAGTCCCAAATCTTGAGACAAAATTCAGGGTGTACAGGGTGTTCCATTTGAGATTACGAAGGTGTAGCCCACTTTCGGTATAAGCTGAAGTCCTCAGAGCAAATATTTCAGCTAAAAAGATTTCCATCTATTCCGCGGTATTCTTCACTCTCAAAAAAGTTGATCAATAGAATCTTCCAATTTGGCTTACCAACAGTGTTCATGAATCAGCCTGATGTATGGTTAAACAGATCAACCAATTTGTACTTTATTTTAAATGAAAAACGTTATTTTAATGATCGATTATGTGAATATGGCATTGTTTTTTAGTAATTTTCAATTCTACGAAGAGCGTATCGGAATGAAATCACAATTTAATTGCCACAATTTTAATTAATAGAATTGATCATTTCGGGCTTTTTGTTCATTAGCAAAAGTTTCAATCACATATGTAATCTTTCTAGTCCCATGGAATTTTTTGAATGAGTTTTTATTCATTTCGATTTTGAAAATAATCGCTTGGCACTAGCCGTTGTCACAGGAATGGTTGCAATTAGGAGAAAATCATTGCACATTTCAGGGAAGCTTGAAGACACAATGATTTTTAATGATTAATAAATCAGCAAGTTCTCTTGTAGAAGGCAACGAGGCAGATATTTATGTCTTTTTCAGTATAAATCAACAAATTCTAAAGCCTTTTTTAATGAATCGGCGTTATTTGAATTCTGCAGATTGGCAGATTGAAAGACATTGATGTTGAAAACTATTTCATCAATTCCAAGAAAACACAGTCGCAGTTGAGTGATGATGTTGTCTAATACACGATAGAATACGTTCACTTTGAATAAGCTTTCAGTACCGTGGAGACATTCTGCCTCGCAAATTTCATCAAAATAACGTTTCACTTTCCTCAGACGATTTTTAGAAAATTCAGGGTTCAATTTGTGCACACGTCAGTCGGTAACTTGAATTTATTGAATATAGAACTAATGAATTTAACTTTCATTTATATCAATGAATGTTAGGAATCTTCTGTGCTCGCGGTCCTGGCATTCTGTCCATCTTGTCGCCCTATTGTTACGCCACTGGTCTGTTGACTGTTTGGATCCGAATGATACGAGTTATACGAATATAGAAAAGCAACGCAAACACAGAAGTGACTGGTGAAGCGATTATTAAAGCAACTAGCGAAGCTTTATCGATACTTTCGCATCATTCATTGTGGAAACGTTGAAGCTTGTCGTTTCACGCTCCTTCTATATTGCGCCTTAGAACTGAGGATGTCATTCATTCGGAAGAAAATCTGTGCTGTTGAATGGAATGAGGAATTCTATTTTTTTTTTCCAGGAGAGAGGCCAGCTGCCATGCAAACTGGATCGGCAGGGCTGTCGAATAGTTCGTTGAACATCCTAGCATTAATAATCATCTCCTATCTCTACACTTCGTGCTATTTTAGCAACTTCGATCCAAGCACGGCATCTGTAAGGTAGCTATCTGCCGGCATATAATTTGTAGATGTGGGGAATTCGGATTAGCCATCGGTTGATGAAGGAAGTTTCGTTACAGGAATTGTTATTTCCAGGAATATGATCGACTTAAGTCTGACGGCTTCTTCGACATTTCTGAATGTTTAATCAAAAATAAGATAATCCAGAAAGAGAACACTAACATTCATTTGGTGTTTATTGTTGGTAAGAACTGTGAATATATTTTATTTGAAGAGTTATTTCGAATGAACAGACAGAAATTTTATAATACGCAATTCGAGAATTGACAGTATGCTGAGATGTTCATACAAATTATATTTACTCTGCCTACTGATGATTCTTTGAATGATTGCCAAATATTAGCTGAGTGACTGTGAGTTCGTTGGAGACATTAAAATAGTAGTGTTAATTCCAAGTGGTGGTGGTGATTAATTTACGAAATGTGATAAAAAGGATATACTTTTTTTGTTAGCGATATGAAAGCACTCCATTTTACTAAAAGAAAATGGATCGAATGGAATTTCCAGTGCTACAATAATGTTACTTCTACAAAAACGGAAGATCCAGGGATACTGGTACGAATGACATTTTCAGTTTATATTTTAGACTTCAATATGCAGAAATGTGACCAAAAGGCTGTATATATCTTTTTCAACATCAAATTTCATTTTACTCTTACCTCTTATCCTTTGTTCATTTCAATGATCTGATCTGATTTAGTCATATTGAAACTGAAAGTCTCACAGGTCAGGTCAGGTTATACAGATCTGGAACAGTTTTACTGGCATATAGCATTCAGAAGCCAATCATGCATAATCAAGTATTCGAAACTGCCTCTATTAGGACTTTCTTCTATCAAATGGTAACGTCAAACTGTCAGACAAGATTGACACGAAGTTTTTTATTATTCGAGAACGAACATTCAAATATTTTTCCATTCTTACCAACTACTCACTCCATATACAGCGTGTCTCATTTCAAACGGCCCCCCCTTCTATATCTCAGCTATTAGTCGTGCGATCTTTACCAAATTTGTATCGGTATGAATAATCATCAATATGACCAGTTTTTCAAAGACAAACATAATTTTAGACAGTGCCGGGCATTTTTATTGAAATGAATAGTGGTTAGTTTTTTATTAAATCATATTAGGCATTTTTTCACAGGAAAACTGACCTCATTATATTGTTCTTCATGGTTTCAAACCCACATATATGGATTTTCATAAGATGCCTATGAAGGGTTTCAGAAAAACAGGCACATCTAAACAGCATTTTTGCGAACTTAATAATTATTTTTTCGGAAACGGTGGTTTCAACATAAAAAAGTATAACTCGTTCCTTCCAAATCATTATTTTCCACCTACCGGAGCCATTGAACGTTCCAAAATTCGTAGTTGATTTGAAGTCACTATTGCTTCGAGACTGAAAATGAAAAAATTAAGCCATTCCTGGTGATTCGGAATCAGGTGATTTTTTGCATATATGGGGGTTCGAAAGCATGAGGAACAATAATATGAGGTTGGATTTCCTGTAAAAAAAATGCCTAATATGATTTTATCAAGAATCGACCTCTTTTCAGTTCAAAAAAAATGCACGGCACTGTCCAAAATAATGTGCATCTCTGTAAAACTGATCATATTGATGGTTATTCATACCACACCAAATTTTGTTGGAATCGCATGACTAATAACTGAGATATAGAGGGGGGCCGTTAGTTTTCGATGTTTTTATTGATGACCTTTTTTTGAATAAAAGTGTACAAATGAATGCAAAATAGAAAAAATAGTATATCACACAAATTTCCAAAGACATTTTTAGGCACTATGGTCTTATGAAACTCATACATATAATAATATACTATTTTCCCACCTCGTGGCGATTCGCTGTCTCTGCTTTCAGCAGCCCCAGTCAGGATGAAAATGTTAGTGAGGACCTGAATGACGGTCTGCAGGCTCTGCTGCAAGGAAGGTAAACAGTATTCCTATTGAATATTTGATAATCCATGGTGTATACCTGCTATATTTTGTTTTAGTCGACTGGCTACTATATCTTAATTCATTGAAAATCTTGTAGTATGTTTGATGCCGAAATCGTGAAGTAACATTATTGAAATATCGGATCAATATTTAATGAAGTGCGTTTGGAATCATCGATATCAAAAATACTCATAATGAATGTTGACTCATTGTTATTGATACAATCTTGGAGTTGTTTCGGGTATATGTTTTCTTATAATTGAAACTTAGCCAATACTTACCTAAGCAGCCACATCATCATCGACGTAATATTAGAACCATACTAAAGTAGGTGGTACTGGCCATGTCTCTTAAAAAAATGTAAAAAATGTTGTATATAGTTAAATGTTAAGACTTGAAGAAACTTTTTCTGTATAGCATTCTACAGTGTGATAAATAAGTTGTTCACCATGATAATAAATTAGTACGATCAAATTCGGATCGTACTGCTGTCAGTATATTTCTTTGCGGATATATGTAAATAATAAAAAAAGTATCTGTTATATTTAATGCAGCTGCAGTAATTGTGGATTTTATCATTCGATTGTATGTGCTCAACACTTCGTTGAATATTACCTGGTTATTTCGATGTTTTATCATCATCAATACACAATTTGTCAGGCGTGATAATTTCACATTCATTTGTTTGCAGTGGAATATTTGACAATAATGTTGATTCTGTGTTGAGTACTTTCGAAGTGTTGACCTGATTCTTTTTTTTTCTGTCTCGAGTTTACATTATCGTTGAAGACACGTTTTCTTTTTGTTTTTCTTTTTTTTTCCAGATGAGTTGATCCACTGAATGTTTCCGAAAATATGTAACTGTATCTCTCAATTAAAAATGTGTAGGGTGTAATTTACAATATAATAAATTTTAAAGTTAATGGAAAGAATCATTTGAGAGTAGACCCCAGAGATTGAGTTTCCAGATCAACAGACCAAGACTTCATGCCAGGTATGTTATCTTTCTATTTCAATATTTTTTCCTTGAGTAGTGGCTCGACTTTATAACTTCAACGTAAAATATGACAATTTAATTTGGAAGATGAGTAAGAACAAGCTTTCTTGATTTCCGGGAAGAATCTATCTTGATAATAATGTATGTATTTAGAGAGCCTCGAATTTTACTACGCTAATTCGATACCATGCATACAATGCAAGTTCATGTCTTGTACAGAGTTATCAAAATCAGATTTCTGTAGCCATTGGTATATATATATACTATCAGATGGTCCACAAATTTTTGTACCGAATTTGTGCTTTCGTTCTATTTCGATACACCCAATGATTTTCCATACAATAGGGGAGACCACTAATTTTTTAAAACGAATTTATCGTGAACTCTATAATGAAAAACTACCAGCGAATTAATTTTAAATTTTGTCATTCATGCTAAGACGGTGAAAAAAATGAATTAGAATATGTCCATTTCAAAATACACAATTCCTGCGCCATTTGAAATTTTGTCAATTCATTGGTGTGACTGGTGCGACGTCTTAGTCCCAACACGCCTATTGTCCTTGAACTGACCAATCATACTGCAACACTGCAGAATGACGAGGTATCAGAGAGAGATACAGCTCGGGACTAATACGTCACGGCTCCACCATCATATTTGGCTGTTTGAAATATCGAATGAAATATGCTGATTTCAAAACGATATAGATTCGATTCCCTTCAACTTCAACTCATAATATTGATTGTACATCAAACTCGAATCATGAATCGTCGATTGAAAGACGTTTTCACGGATTTCTTCTCTCAGTGGTCTTCCCCATTGATGAAAGAACAAAAATTTGTGCCTTCACCAAAATTTCAAAAAGTCGTTTTTCAGTGCTTGAGGCATTATATCTTGTTCTCTACAATTACAACGCTCATTTAATCAATCTATTCAACGTAAAATATGACAATTCAATTTGGAAGATGAGTAAGAACAAGCTTTCTTGATTTCCGGGAAGAATCTATCTTGATAATAATGTATGTATTTAGAGAGCCTCGAATTTTACTACGCTAATTCGATACCATGCATACAATGCAAGTTCATGTCTTGTACAGAGTAATCAAAATCAGATTTCTGCAGCCATTGGTATACCTTTTTTCATCAAATATACAAAATTATTCAAATTACCAAACTACAAGGTGAATGAAAACAAATTTTCATTTGAACATCTTGGAAAGTTATCGGGGCAAGACACCCGGTACAAAACAATGGAACTCGATTATTTTCGAATGTCTTTGTGTTCGGCCCCACCTGCGAAAACACCCCCGACGTCTAGGAGTAATGCCTCAGCATTAGGATGGAGGGTGGGTAAATGCTTACCACTCGCTTATCGCGAGCAATAAATATCGGGCTCTGGGAATTTACATTGCAATATCCAGTTGGTAGTAGATATAAACCTATCTATACTCTACACGAAGTTTTCCAACTCCCTTATATACACCCCGTGCTTTATACTTTATAGTGTATTCCAGCAATTTGTCATGGAATAGAACATAATGGAAAATTATGTCGGCTTCCCAAACGCTTCATATACGACTAAGCCGATCCGAACGTATACAATATATACAGGGTTTACCACTATTTGAGGCAGTGACGTGTTTGGGAAGGGTAGTCGAGGGGAGGGGTCAAAATATTTCTGTTTGTTTATTACTACTTCGAAGTTGGAAACCAACTCCCCAGAAGTCGAAACTTGTGCGGGGTTAGGAAAAGCGGGAGCGCCTATTGACACTCACTTTTTTGTTAGTTACCCACTTTTCATCGAATGATTGTTTTTTTATCTCCCGAAGGGCACGAAAGAAAGATATTCTAATAATCACGAGTACCAAATAAATTTTGAATTAACTCGGCCGTTGCTTGATGGACATCCATAGTGAATATAAGTTTTTCACACTTACAAAATAAATTGTTTCCGTGAGTCGGTCTTTTCCATGAGTTTTCGCTTTTTGTCAACGTCGATATGGAATTTTCAGCTGATAACTTCTCAACGGTCATTCCAATCATTTGAATTCGAATGAAATCATGGTTTTATGGTAACATAAAAACCAGTGTCAATTTTCTTTTCGAACTCTAGGAGAGTAAGAGCGAGTAGCCCTATCACGTGAGCTTTTCAACAGTAGATTTTCGAATAAT